GACATTGCTACAGACCCCTCAGAGGAACCTGAGGGTCAGAATCACTGCTTAGAAGCTGGGCAAAGCTCTGATGTTGTCACGAAGGCTGCAGAGATGTTCACTGGTTCCTATATCACAGCAAATGCTCTTTCTCTGGCCCCGCTCCTCCATCTCCCAAAAGCCACTGCTTTTCTCAATTTAAGGAGGACTGTGAGCCAGTAGGAATGGACAAGGGTCATCCTACTGCATCGTGTGCTCCTAGCCCTGTTGCGGAGGAGACTAGCTTCTTTTCTATGGGGGATTAGAACCCAGAGCCTCTGTTCTCATGGGGCAGACAGGGAAGCCTTCAACAGACTCTCCGGGCCTCTCCCACTGGGCCTATCTGGGGAGTACAGTCACAAGCGTGCGCCACACTGGGTGCACAAATGTGCACATACACGCATGCACAGCATGCCACTCCATAAACCAGTCACATTCCCCCCCACAGTCATATTTAAGTTAAGAGCAGGGAAATCTAAAGGTAAGAAGTCATAAAAGGGTAGCAATGGTGTGCGTATGTATATGAAAAGAATGTGGAGCCATTTAATTCACTTTCATTTACTCATTTAGTCACGGTGCTGGGCTTCGAGGCTGGTTATATGGGCTAATAGAGGGTGATCAGAATAGAATTGAAAGATGTAGACATCTTTTAAAAGACATCTTTTAAAAGATGTATGACCCAGTAACAAGGTCATATGTGAACATGTAGCCAAGAACAATTTGTATAGGAACCCTCATTGTTTCTCTCTACCATTATACAAATGTTCACCATGCACTCCAAGTCATATTATAGCTGATCACCAGTGATGGTCACAATGACAGTCAAAATGTGGCTGTGAGGAACAGGTGTTACAAAATGAGTTGCATATAGATGTTTATATATAATCTAGGTGCTGTGCGTTGCACTTTGAAAGTGTTTCAATCTTTTTGATTCAATTTATATTTTAACTTAAAGTGGGATGAGGGTTTTACTATTGTTTTTTTCTAAAGCTCTCTCTCTTTTTTCTTAACTGAGCAAATGCCTTGTGGTCTGCTGCTTAGGGGATCCCCAAGCTTGGTATCCAGGGCCATCACCATGGCGACCATGCCCTAGGGAGGGCTTTGACTCAAGTCATGGTCTGCATGGGAAGGTGTGCGCCTTGCTGAGCTGCTCGTGGCTCCGAGAGTTTTAAGGTTGTTTCTCCCTTTTTCCTGAACCACAACAGCCTTGATTGTCTCTCCCTGCCCAGAAGTGTTCGAACAACCTGCCCCTTGTGATCAAAGGGAGGAAGAACTTTACAGCGCCCCCCCCCCCAGGGACCGTTGGTGGCTTGCACTTTTCACACGGCCCCTACCATAGTAGGAAACTCTGGAAAGAGCAGCAGGTTTAGCCACAGCAGCTGGGGTGGTGCAATGGGATGAGCAGCTATTTGGAGGCACTCCTAGTCCCTTCCTTTCCCTTCCCTTTTTCAGTCAAAGAAGAGGCTTTGCACAGGGTGCAAAGGGTTGTAGAGGGGTCCAGATGCTAAAACAACTAAATATTGTCAATTTCATATGGCTCCACTTAGCTAGAGGCCATGCCTGGCTTTTATCTATAAAGTATACCGACTCTATACGCAGAGTCAACTACGATTCTATTCTCTGAGCCTGGATATAGAACATAGGATCTAGAGCAAAAAAATTTAGTATGGGTTTTGTTCAAAACTTTAGTAAAATGGCTCTTTCACTTTCCTTGTCTTTTGTGTATGTTGTGGGGTGGGAGGGGATTAGAAATTGAGTTTTTGAGGCAGATACCTCTTCGTGGAGCTATCCCTTCATTCTGTAGGAGCTCAGAGAATTCCCCTTTCCTGGTTATGGACTCCACCACCTCCTTCCCTTTTGGCTCTATCCACTATCACCCAGAACACTGTCTTGGATCCCCTGGAAGAGCTGCCCATTAGAAACTGGGCAGAAGGGTAACAGAGACGTAATTCCACACTGCCCTCCCCACTGCCCACTGCAGATCCTCGCTCTGGGGCCATTTCTGTAACCATGGTATCATGTATTCAACACCTGATAAACAGCTGAGCACAATTACGAAAGTCGTCTCATTTTTCATCATCTTTTGTATTTGCCAAATTTAAGTATGTTCGTAATGAATTTCTAAATATAAATCAGCAAGATGGACCTATATCACATATTAAATGTAAACCAATACCTCCATTTCTACCTAAAATAATAGTTATATAGCTAGCATTTGTTCATTGAGCGCTTACTGTGTGCTGAATCCTGGGTTAAGGATTTTATATGATTTTATTTTTTTAATGTAAATATCACAGAAATCCTAGGTTATGTTATGTTCATTTTTACAAATGAAGAAATTAAGTTTCAGAAAGAGTAAAAAAACCCAACTTGTCCAAGGTCACACAAGTAAGTATGCAGTGTGTATTGGAGCAAAGATTCAAACCCAGGTGAAACCCTGGCCCCACTATATTGCCTCCCTGAAATCCAGGGGGTTTCAAACCCTGTAGGAGGTTAAAAGTTAGCTTTTCACAACACAAGAAGATAGAGGGCGAGTGAAATAGAACTGAGGTTTATAGAATCAACATTTGGATACGGAGAATAAGAAATGGTTATTTCTCACTCCAAATACTGAAATAAAAGAGTTGCCTTTTTGAATGTAAAACAAATTTGTTTGGAGACATAGATCCTGTGGATTTCTTTACCCTATTAAGGGTAGTAAGAATGTGAAACCCCAATAGGTTAGGTAAGCCAAATAAATAGCTTCAAGGAGAGCTTGCATGCATTTGTTGATCAAATAATCAGGTACTTCCTTTTAAGTGTTAGATTTTGTTTTTTGTTTAAAAAAATTAAATATTGTCAACTTTATATGGTCCGACTTAGCTAGAGGCCATGCCTGACTTTTATCTATAAAGTACACAGACTCTATACACAAAGTCAACTATGATTCTATTCTATTCTGAGCCTGCATTCAGAACATAAGATCTATTGCAAAAATTTTTAGTTTTTTGGTTTTGCGAAAACTGTAGTAAAATGGCTCTTTCTCTTTCCTAGTCTTTTGTGTACGTTGGGGGTCCAGCAGGGGATTAGAAATCGAGTTTTTGAGACTGATGTCTCTTTGATCATCATAGAACTGAAAATTGGGTTTTATTGTTCATTCTGCTCTAACCATTTGATAGACCTGTGGCAAAACAACCAAATTTTCAGGATTTCAGTTTAATCATCTGTCAAACGAGGAATTGAGTGTATCCCTTTTAGTTCTAAAATTTTCCAGAGTTAAGAATACACAGCTGACTTTTGCTGTCAGAATTGTCAAAATCTGGTCCTCATTACTTCTTTCTCCACTATCAACTTCCATAACCCTAGAACCTACTCATTTATCAGATAGGGATAAACCAACTGAGACAGGGTTTCTTTGCATGGGATCTCTGTGTCTTGGTCTGAGTTGCCACATTTAGCAAATAAAAATCGCAAGATGTCCAGTTACATTTGGAACTCAGATAAACCATGAATCATATTTTAGTATAAGTATATCCCAGGCAGTATTTTGGACATACTAGGCAGTTTTGGGGACATACTTACACTGAAAACTGGCTTGCAGTTTATCTGAAATTCAAGTGTAACTGGGCGACTTGTATTTTATCTAGCAGTCCTGCTCTAGGTTGTGTTTCAGGTGGGTCCATTCTGGAACCCTGCAGAATATTCCAAAACATATTGTGCATGTGTGCTTCTGTGTAGTTTCCTGTATCATGGGCTCAGTGCTTTCATGAAGTTCTCAGAAAGGCTCAAAACCCCCAAATAGATCCAGAACCACCGAACTGAGAATAATGTTGCCGAGAAATGCTACCCGTCGTGCCTGTAAACGGGCAAGTCCCTGTGAAAGTATCACACTGGAATCAAGTTCTTCCTGCCCCCAAACTGATCCCAGATGAAAGTTTCTAGAATCGGTTATAGAAGAGTTATTATTACTTTATATTTAAGAACATTCTCCTTCCTGCTGTCTTCCACCCTTGCCCCCTGGGAGAGACTCCATGCGGGGCAAGCTGAAAAGCCATGTGTGCTAAAGTGTCACTGTCACTCTCCTGCCAGAGTGAGCTGGAATCCCAGAATGTCTTCTTGCCAGAGGGGAGAATCAGCTGCCTGCTCCCTGTCCCTGCCACATTCCAGCCGCTGCATCTGTCCGCCTTCATCAGCACGCCCTCCAGGAATAGAAAAACTCCTGGCTCCTGCCCCTTCTGCTGCTGGACATCTTAAGCCTAACTCGGGTGGGGAGTTCCACTTTACCGTTTCATTCCCAACAGGATTTTTCACAGGAAACAGATTCAGCGTACCCGTATGTGTGCATTGAAAACAAAAACCTGTTTTTCAGCCAAATGATAAATTTGTGAGGTTTTTTTTTTTCTTTTGCAGGAGGGATTTCTATTTTGTCAAAAGGTCATATTTCTGGCAATTAAAGGAGTTGTCTGATTTTTGTGCTACCAAGATGGTTAAAAGGGACACTATTGTATCAAAAGTGAGGTTTACATGATTCCTGATAAAAAAAAAAATGAAGATGGAATTGTAAACTTGTGGACAGTAAAATTGTAAACTTTGTGGACAGTGCTTAAGAATTTTCTCTACCTCCTCTTCTCTATAAGCTAGCGAAAGAAAAATATATCTTATGCTTTAGAGACTTAAAATTATTATTAGAAATTGCAGGTAATTTTACTTTTATAGGGCATTGCTCTCATGCATTTATGTTACCGTGACATTCTCCTAACATAATGCATTTCTCAGATTTCCAAAAAAAAAAAAAATGTTTTCTGCATCCCAACTTTAGATCAGGGATGTGAGTGAACAATCTGACCCAGCCAACACACTCCCTTTCGGAAAATCGCTCTACAACCACAAACTCTCAGAGGCCCTGCTCTCTCCCACGCACCCATCCGCACACACCCCTAGAAGATGGATCTGCTCTAGAATGCAGAAAACAGCAATCAGCCACTGTGGTCCCAGCGCCTTACCCTCCTGTGTGAAGTGGCAGCCCGACTTGAGATGGTGAGGTCTTAGCAGCAGACTCCTCTTGGGAAGTGATCTGTAGGGAGAGAGAGAGAGAGGGGGAGAAGGAAAATCCGGTGGGGAGCCCCCAGCAGCCACCTGACAGGGCCCTGCTAGAGCAATTTTTAGAGTGACCCTTTGCCGTCCTACCGGATCAGGCAGGCCGAGCCTGCGCTCTGGCCTGGAGCTGCAGCCTGAGCTCTCTCCTCTCCCTCTTTGGCCTTCAACTCCGGGCCATCCCGGGCCAGGGGGCGGGGCTCCAGCTGGGGGAGGGGGTTGGGTTTCTTGACCAGACCAGTTGTTAAAAAAAAAAAAAAAAAAAAAAAAAAAAAATTCAAGAGCTCAGTTAACCAGAATGTGAGGAAAGAAAAATAATGAGCAGGGGTGTTTAATTGTTGGAAGCAGGAGTTAGAGTAGAATAAGAAGGGAAGCTTTGTGGATAAAAATTAGCTCCCAGAAAGGTAAATTGCCTGCTCACCTCAGGTCTTTTAAGAAGATTGTGGTTATAAATAGACCGTTCTTTATAAGAGGAGCACATGTTTACCAGGACATGGTCCTTTCTATAGCACCTCACACATGGCGTTAGCATTATTAAGGCTATGGTATATAGTTCGATAAAATGAAGGCTAGGCGCAGCCCTTGATTATCCAGTGATCCATAAGCAGATCTGAGATGAACACACACTCTTAACACACGTGCAGGTTGGGGAATATCTACTTTGGCAACGTTTCGTATGAAAAAAAAAAAAATTCAAGGGATTATAATTGACCACAGGCTTTTAATAGGCACCAAGAGTGTTTAATGGCTGCTAAAAAAAAAAAAAAGTTAACATGATATTAGCTGCAATAATAGAACATAGCTCATGGAAAATAAATGTTCTTCGTAAGTGGAAAGTTATTCTTCATTAGTCAGGTGATGTGTTAAGCTTTGCTTGGGCCACCTTGGCACACTGGGAATTTACCGCATCCTACGGAAGAGGGCTGGGATGAAAAAAAAACTTCAGAAGCTGCCAATATTGGGAACGTGTGAAGAAACATCCGACTAAGAGAAGACTCAGGATAGACAAGACTCTTGCAAGTTAAGTGTTATGGGGGGGCCATTGTGCAGCAAGAGGGCTCAGTGAAAATTTCCGTAGCCTGAGATGTCAAAAATTAGGCTCACTGGGTGGAAGTTCTAGGGAAATAAATTAACACTAAGGAAGAAAAGTTCTGATTACAACTAGGTTCTAAAGGTGAAAATGGCAGCCTTGTATAAGAGCCAGGTCCCTATTTTTAGAAGGGTGGAAGTAACAGAAGCTATGGGATTGGTGTGACGTCAAAGGGACTCCGCTCTGGCTGGGGGCTTGCCCTGTGTCATCTCTGGTGTCTTTTCAACTCTAAGCCTCTATGATTCTATGTGTCCTGGCCTCTAGTTCTCCTGACATCTCCCAACTCATTGGATAGCATCTGCCTTAGTGACCACTTCTGTTGAATTTCAGCCTGCTTTTTTAGCACGGAAAAATATTTCGATTTTTTAAAAAAATTCTTTGCCTCCACCTGTAGATCTCTACCACTGAATGTGTCAGAAGCAAATCAGAGAAGCTTATGTTACGTTTTGCTTCTAAGCACTCCTTCTTGGTTCCACTTCCTTGACTCAGGTAAAAGGCCAGAGCTTTTAAACCTATTTTTACTGTAATAAAAATCAACTTTGGATCAGCATTTATGATTATGATGACAGGGCTTTCAAGAAGCAGATGTTGGTACCAATAGTATTGTCATCAAGGATTGAAGACTATTAATTCCAATTTTACTACAACAGCATTAAGGTACTCCATTGTTTTTGTGTTTGTTTGTTTGTTTGTGTTTTTGTCTTAGAGACAGGGTCTTGCTATGTTGCTCAGGCTGGTCTCAAACTCCTAGCTTCAAGCCATCCTCCCCTCTGGGCCTCCCAAAGTACTAGGATTACAGTACTAGGATTACCTTCTAACATACTCCTTTCAATAGAATATCATTTGAGGTAGAGGTATGAACACAAGTGGAAGAATAAAAGGCAAAAATGGAAAATCTAAGAGACACATCGATTAAAAAAGCATTTTTAAAGTAGCTGCCATATGCAAACATTCAACTGCTATGGCTTGTGTGCTGGAAACACAGGGGCGTGGACCATGGGTAGAAGGAGCCTGGGCAGAAGGCTGTAGTGCATTCTAAGAAATCTGGCCTTTATCCTTAAAGCAATGGGGGGGCCTATCCAATGAAGTTTATTTAATAAAAAAGAGTACCATAATGAGATTGGCATTTTAGAAAGAACACTCTAGCATTTGGGGGTGTAACCTTAGCAGAATTTAGAGAATTTCTGTTAAATAATTTGTTTCCTTTGTTAGCCTCTTCCTCTCTTCCACCAACCTCCCACTTCTGTCTGCCATGGAGCCAGCTCAAATGTGAGCCCCATGAGGGTAAAGAAGTTTATCTTGTTCACCGGTGAATCTCGAGTGCCTATAACAGTACCTGGCACGTGGAAGATGGTGAATAATTGTTTATTAACTGAGTAAGCAAATGAATGAATGAATGCATATTGAATGAGATGAGTAAGATGAAGTTAGAGGACAAGAGAATTCAGAGTGCATGCAAGAAGGGAATATAATAGCAGGCCATAACACTGAGCCAAGTAAAGAGGGCAATGAGGTCCTAAAGGCAGGGGATCTTTCTTGTTTATTACCACAACTCCAGAACCAAGACAATGCCTAGTTTATAGTAGGTGCTCAATAAATATTTGTTGAGTGAAAAAAAACATGCTAGCAACACTGTAAAATCCAAGATGGAAAGTATTGTGATATTTTGCTTTTTACTTATTCTAGCCATATCTTATAACAATTCACAGGATTCTCTAGTAAACACAAATGTCTTATTATCATTATTTTTTTTTTTTTTTGAGAGAGGGTCTGTCTCTGTTGCCCAGGCTGGAGTGCAGTGGTGTAATTGTAATTCACTGTAACCTCAAACTCCTGAGCATCAAGTGATCCTCACATCTCAGCCTTCTGAATAGCTGAGACTACAGGTGTGTGCCAGCACACATAATAATTTTTTTTTTTATTTTTGTAGAGACAGGGTCTTGCTGTGTTGCCCAGGCTGAGGGTCTTTTTTTTTTTTTTCTGAGACTGAGTTTTGTTCTGTTGTCCTGACCAGAGTATGGTGGCATCATCACAGCTCACTGCAACTCTCCAGCACCTGGGCCCAGGTGATCGCCTGCCTCAATCTCCCAAGTAGCTGGGACTACAGGCATGCACCACCATGCCCAGCTAATTTTTCTATTTTTGGTAGAGACAGGGTCTCACTCTTGCTCAGGCTGGTCTCAAACTCCTGACTTCAAGCGATCCTCCCACCTTGGCCTCCTTGAGTGCTAGGATTACAGGTGTGAGCCATCGCGCCCAGCCTAAAATCTTTTGTAGCTAAAAGCAGCTGAACAATAACCCATGGTCCCCAAAATATACCTGTCTGTTATAGATTATAACTCTGATTATTTAGCCAGTTCTCAATTCCTATCACCAATAGGAAATCCTTTAGAATGCTGTACAGGAATTACCTGGAGACTTTGTAAAATATTGACTCTAATAAGGTAGGTCTGGAGTGGGGCCTGAGATCTGCCTTTATGACAAGCTCACAGGTAATGCTGATGTTGCTGGTTCAAGGACCATACTTTGAATAGCAAGGATTTAGAGCACTTACCTACTCAACACCTAAAGAGAAAGGATTTGTTAGAAAGGCAATAGAAGCCATTCCATCAGAATGCAGTCTGTGTTCCAATATCACATCTACAAATCTACCTGGGAGAAGTCTCCAACCTTTCCTTCTTTGCCTTATAAAAATGGACCAGCCCCCTTCCAACCTCAGCCCCTCTATCAGTACTTTGGATTACGAAACAATCACCTGTTCAGGAGCCTTGCTCTATCAGTTCTCCCCTCTGTCCTGTCCCCAAGCCCCCTGTCCCCTGCCATCTGCTGGCCAATTTCCACCACCATGTAATGGTGCTCACAACACACCCACTCTCCTGCCTTCATACTTGCTGTTTCAATTGCCTAAATGGTCTTTCTCCTCATTTTTGCCTAGTGAATTCCTTACTCGTCTTTTGCATCTTTGCTTAAATATCACTTACTCCAGAAGTCCTTGCTTGAAACGTCAACTCAGGTTCTCTGTTTCCACAGTGACTTTTATTTCTACTTCTATGTCATAGTTCAGTGCTCCTCACTGGACTAAAAGTGCCATAAATAATACAATCTAACACATATTAGTATAATACTTACTCTATACCAGGTAGGTAGCTTCTAAGATGGGCCCCAAATAATCTCTGCCTCCAGGGATTCATGGCCTTATATAATTTCCTAACTTTGGGTAACTTGCTTCTAACCAATAGAAAGTAGAGAGTTTAGGGGATATCACTTCTGTGACTAGGTTACAAAAGATCCTGATTACTTTCCTAATAGCAGACTTTCTCTCTTATTGGATTTGATGAAGCCCAGTGCCATGTTGGAGATGCCCAGGCCTGGGGTAGCCAGCTAGGAACTGAAGCCCTCAGTTCAGCATCCCCAAAGACATGACATGAATCCTGCCAATCATCAGTGAACTTGGAGTTAGACCCTTCCCTGGTTTAGCCTTCAGATGAGGCCCCAGCCCTGGCTAACATCTTGATTTCAGACTTTGAGAGATCCTATATCAAGAGAACCTGATTAATCTCTGCCTGAATCCCTGACCCAAAGAATCAGTGAGATAAAAAAAGTATGTTGTTAAGTTATACAGCAATAGGTAATTAATACAGTATACTTCTATATGCTTTTCATCGATAGACTAATTTAATCATTTCGAAAGATTCCTTTCCTCCTTGGCCAGCATGATAAACTTCAGGGGAACTGAGGGGGAGAAGGGAACTGAATGGGAGAGAGAATCTGAGTGGAAACAGCTGGAAGACAAAGAAGCATAAAGACGGTGGTGGGAGTCTTGAGGGAGACAGGGGCTGTGATACATACATACAGGACACTGTAGTCTGCAGGAACAAAGGAATTTCTGATAGGGCCATGCGGCTGAAGGACCATAACAACAAAGATGCCTAATGGTCCATTTTCAGCTGTTTGCATTTTGCTGCTGTAAATGCTGTCTATAGCACAAAAGTTTTAGTAAAATCTCCTACCCATAAATGCCTGGGTGGTTGTGTAGAGTGGTAATCAGTTGAAGACTCACCCCGGTTGGCACGGGGCAGA